AAAGCCAAAGGTGAACTGCCCCTTTTGTCTGGGCTTGGTTTAAGCCCTGAGGATACATTTTCAAGCTCCCAAGGGGGTTTCTGTGATCCAACCCGTCACAGTTATTACTAAACTGCTTACTTTGCAAAGATAAAATCAGTCCATTAATTACAGAACCTGCCCAAAACCAGAGCTGAACATCTGCTGTTAAAGTGATTTGGGCAGGAATATACAGGATTGTGAGCTGGTATCTAGACATGTGTCCACTAGAGAAATGCATAGTATCACCACATCAGAGGAAAGTTTCTGTTGCACCACACCAGTGTAATTGCACAAGAATTCCAATATTTTGTTGGGTCAAGGCACCATTTCATAACTGGAGACAGGGCGCAAACTGCAAGGTTCGGATGCAGTTCCTCAACACCCCAAGCTTCGGTGGTGTTCCAGTCGGAGATGTGGGTTCATTTCATTTCAGAGTCTGAGAACCACCCTCCCAATTCAGGAAGAGCAGATCCAAGGTTCTGGTTCAGCCCCATCATGCTTCAGTACGTATTCCCCTGTTTTCATAAAGCAGATATAGGCTGGGCTTTTCAAAAGGACCTAAGGGAGTTTTGCACCCAAATTCCCCTGAAAACTCTCCTTCTGAATGCTCCATATTTCATTGATCTTTGCACTGCCAGAGAAATGCCAATCTGCCATTGGCACTCTTTGTGCTATGAAGTGGAGCAGAATTTAGTGCCGTGTCTATATGTGGGTTGAACAGCTGAGGGAGCAATACTTGTTCCTTAACAATTCTGACATTTCCAGATGCTTGTCACAATTTTGCCCTGTGTCTTCCCGAGAGTAAACAGAGCTAATTTCCTCCATTTCCCCCCAAATTGTGAAATCTCAGTCGTTCACTTAGCTAGTATTTATTTGCTCCTTGTGGGACAGAAGACCACAGACTTGCAGATTTGGATGAGTCATTAAGCTTAAGTTCTGCCTGCAGGATGGCTAGGAAAGATGCTGTTTTACAAGGGTTTTCATTGGCACTGTTTGCCCAGCTAAATGCTAATGGTGTCATTTATTACTAAGGGAAAAGAGATATTTGGAAAAACAAATGAACAAAAACCGACATGCTACTTTTTACAAATGGTTCCCACCAAGATTTGCTATTATGATCAAATAAGTTAGGAAGATTGGGATACATATGTATACAAACACAAATGTTCTGTCTAGGACGATTTATTTTCATTTATGGACGAGCTACAAAGGGTGACTATACATCTGGTACTGGCATCCTTGGCATAAAATTAGAGCTAGTCAGAAAATGGGGCTTTTCTGTGGAAAATTTCAACTTTTTATTGAAAAGTCAAAATCCTGATTTTTGTTTATCCATAAACGTCAAAAAACCAAAACACCCACCCAACTTTTTTCTTCAAGTTTCTGACCAAAAAGAAAAAGAAAATTAGAATTTTTTATCAAAGCAGACACGTTCTGTGAAAGTGTTTATTTAATTGAAAACCCAATTATTTCCCATCAAAAATAGTTTAGATAGAATCTTGTCAACCAGGCCTATGAAACATATATCCAAAGTGCAGCAATTTAAGACAAACCACCCTCAGTAACCTAAATGCTCAAATCCCTCTCAAGCAATTCGCCACTCCTACAGTGACAGTTCCACTACTGACACCACACAGACATTTCCAAATGTCTTGCAAGGAAAACACACGAGCTTTCCAGTGTGTCCTGAACTTGGGCTATTTGGGACCAAAGAGGTGGAGTGAGTTCCATAGCTGAGGCCCTGACAGAACTAAACCAACAACCCATCTCATTTATATGAAAATGGCTCCAAGCCTGAGCACCTCTGCTGATCTCAATTCTAGCAGTACAGCACAGGGAGAGAAGCAGTCTCTGAGTGCAAGCAGAATTACCAAAAATATAAGCTCTTTGGAAGTCAGTTTAACCAGAACCATCAGCTCATGGTGACCATATGGGCAACCCATCAGGCAAGAGAACGTCATTGTACTGAAAAAAACGTGCAGCAAGTTAGAGATGGGTAAAAGCAGATGGGCAAACCTCATCAATTTTTATTTTGGTTGCCTTAGCAAAACCCATACCAAGAGTGGTTTGGATCCAGGTCCCATTTCTGAGCCCATAAAGGACAGGGGTGGATCTGGTGGTCAGATAAGTGGTTTCCATGTAGACCTGTCTGTAGGAAAAATAGCAAAACCTATTATACATTCCAAAATGCTCCCACATTCATATAACTTACATAGCACTGACCATCAACATGTATGTTGTTAATAGTCTGAAACATGTGAAGGACTGTCTGAGTGATGTGCTTGACTGCAATGCTGTTTAATGCAGGACATCACTTCTGCATTTTGAATGGGGCCCTTTAGAAGATGCAACCATTTTCTTAGCCAAAAAACATTAGCTATGTGACTATGTATTTGAGTGGCATCTAAATGTGTTAGTGTACAGAGGGTTTGTGTATGAACATGTGGGTATAATTCTCCCCTCCCTGACCCAAGTGTAATGCTATAGAGTTCAATGTCACTCTTGAGTTACATCCCTGTGAGTAGAGAATCACACAAGACCTTATATTTCTAAGAACCTAAGGAGATAAGATGTAGTGAATTAAGATGGAATACTGCTGAAGTGACCGGTTCTTACTATTCTGGGGTTCACTGAGGGCTTAATCCTGCATGGTACTGGGCATACTTGGCCCTGATTCAGCAAAGCACATGCTTAATTTCAAGCACCTAAGTAGACCCACTGAAGTCAGTGGTACACTGTGTGTCACCATAAGTGTCCACACCAATGTGTCTCTTTGCAGAAGCAAGTCATTAGATTATAGAACAAATTTGGGATTTTTATCATATTCACTTTTATGTCATTTAACCTCATGCCACTGACTGTAGTCTTGTCTTTTCAACATCAAGTAGTGGAATATTATTTCTTTAGTGCATGTGCACAGACATCATCACTCTAACAGTCCCACACCAGCAGCCATTTTGATAGGCGCTCTGTTTATGAAGAAATTTAGAGCAACATTACAGAAAAGCACTGGTTCTTAGTTATTAGTCTGTTCTTTTTAGCTGTGGACATTCTCCTTCCCCATCTAATAGATTTACTGCGCTTCAAAGGATGCCAGACATATGGCTTTAGAGACTGAAATATTCAGAACAGTTACAACACTGCCAGTACCAGTGCAAACTTCCCTACATTAATCTACCACTGTGCCTCATTCCCGGCCTTCAGGGGCCATCTCTTGGCATGAAAAGGTAGTTCAGTCTCCAAGCCCATTCAGTCCTTGGTCTCTGCCACGGCCCTTCCAGCAAGGGTGTAAACCAGCGCCAAAGATGGAGAGTTGTGATTTGGCATCTGGCCCACAGCATTGAGACCACCAAGCCATTTTGTATAGGCCACTGAACAGCTGCCAGATGATCACTTGTTTAGTTAAAGATGCAAGACATGCCGTAAATTAAATCTCATTTGGATGAAATGTTGCCTGTGCTTGGACTTAGTAGGACCTATGGAGCTGACATTCCTTGTGTCATTCCTTACAGTCAATTTACTTTTGCCTCATTATTCTCAATACATTTTAAATATGTTAAGTTACTTTCTTGTGACTAACAGGCCAGATCCTCAGCTAGGGTAAATAAGCATAGCTCCACTGACGTCAATGGAAGCTGTGCCAGTTTTCACCACAGTTCCAGTTAAATCAGCGCTCTGCTGATTTACACTAGCTGCGGATCTGGCCCAATGCCTCCAGTCCAACATCTCTCCTTCCCTTGGAGGTTAGCCGAAGTTACAAAACCTGGGGTGGTGATTTTGTCAGATTTCATAGGCTAAGTCAATCTCATATCTCAGTAGTGTTCAGGCCTAAATACCACCATGGCATTAGTGTGCGCCGTGATGTCAGAGGTGCCCTATTCCAGATGTGGTCCTGACCCAGCCTGGGTTCAGTGCTGGCTCAAAGGGAAGAGTGCCCCCTACTGAATCACCAGCCCCACTTCCTGCAGCCCTTGGGGTCTCCTGGCTGTACAACCAGAGAGGTTTCCGCTCCTTTATAGCTTTTCTTTACTCTGGGTGATTTTGCACTACGCCAGACATCCTTGAATTTTATCGCTGGAGTGAGATGTTCAGTGGGCTGATGAGCTTATTGTGTTCATGACACATGTGATAAATTGCTAAGACCGTGGGTTAAAAATATACTTGATGATTCCAACCAATCAATACAGGCCCGGTAAAGATCTGATCCTTAAAGGAGGATTATTCCATCTTCATCCTCACCACAGTTCAGGGCAATCCCTCTCAATATACTGTTAACTGCACAAACCAATCATACTTGACTACAAAGTGACAAGTGAGACTTTCCTCTCAGCTGCCTCTCTCTCTCATATACAAGCGCGCACACACACACACACACACAGCCTTGCTTTTGCCTTCTGCCATGTCTAAAATAAATACACCTCTACCCCGATATAACATGACCCGATAGAACACGAATTCGGATATAACGCGGTAAAGCAGCGCTCGGGGGGGCTGCGCACTCTGGCGGATCAAAGCAAGTTCGATATAACACGGTTTCACCTATAACGCGGTAAGATTTTTTGACTCCCAAGGACAGTGTTATATCGGGGTACAGGTGTAATAAAATAACTGATTTGTTTTGGGAAGGGGTTATAATTGGGAAACATTCCTTAGTTTTAGTCAATTCGGAGTATGGTGGGCTCTGAAAAATGTCTTCTTTGCAGCTTACAGGAATCCCTATTTCTCTTCCATGTCAGGTTGTAACACCCGGCACAACATCTGGGACAGCCGCATAGCCAAAAAACCTGATGTTTCAGAGGCCATCCATCCTGAAGACATGAAAAATCCTGCCAGAACCTTGAGTCTGAAACCAAAAGGCTGCAGTTAGTTACACAGGCTGCCAATCTTCACCACTGTATTGAATGGGTAAGTTCACCCCGCTCAATCAACTTCACTGTGTATAGCAGTGCCGCATCCGACTATACAAAGGGAATGCTGGCACCTAACCTCCAATCGTTCAGAGCCTGACTTGGCATCTAAACACTAGGATGCTTATCCAAACTAACAGGCACAAGGCCTAGATGGACTTTTTCTCCGAAAAGGCCTGAGTTCCAGGATGGAGGAACAATAACTAGTTACCCCTTCCCACTACCCTCCAGCATTGGCTGTTGTCTTTAAGGTTGACTAGCCTGACCACTTGCCTACCCTTGTGCAGCCAGACTCTGTGACACTGTCACACCAGGTTGCTTCCTCCCAGCCTTGCTGCAAGGGTGGAGAAAGGACTACATAGGAATGAAGGGAGGGCCTCCCCTGTGCATACCCAGGAGATTAGCAGTTCTTGTAGATGTATGGGGAGGTGGGGTTCCCTCCATCGCTACCTAATAATTCCCATCAAGTTTCATCTTGAGACAAACAGCTGGGAGGGGAAGCAGGTTTATTAGCTAGCCCCATGAAAATACTGGAGTGAGATGCCTTGTCCTTAGGCAAGAAGTGGGGAAAGATTTAAGGAGGGAGATTGGGGTGGGGGGATGTATGGGCCATTTGGTAAGGGAGATGGGAAGGTCGCTGAACTGAACAATCCAGAACCGGTAAAGATTCCAGGGAAGGGTCAAGGTTCTAAGATTCAGAATCAGTTTGCCCATCCCTGGTGCTTACTGGTAACATCTACAGTACATTGCTTGTCTGTACCTTATCAGAGACGACTATGTGACAGTCAGCAAAGGAACGGGGCTGGTGATTGTCTCTAATGTAACCAGGCTTAGAGAGGGGGAGGAGTTCCTTCTTATCGAAATCCGGACCTCCCAGGAGCGTTCATCTGCTGACTCAGAAGTGGAAATGTTCTGTTCAGGAGGCAGGCTTTCAAATCTGACCCTTGTTAGCCTAAAAATACACGTACCAGTAAATCTCTTGTATTCCTTAAACTGCCTACAAATACACATGGGAGCAGAGTAAACTAATGCTGATCTGACTTTAATTAAAAGAGATCACGGTCCTAGCTTCCAGGCCAACATCTGGTAAGGCAGACAGTAGATGTGGCCTTTTGGCAGAGCTGACCCCATGCTGGAAAGGACTATAAAACCGTGTCATCTATAATCATAAAATCATTTTCCTTCCATGTGTTTGGCATGCTGGTTTTTTACTGCTCTTACTTAGCAGCAAAGATACTGAGGCCAAATCCTGCAGGCCTTAGTTCTCACTCAGTTCAAGGGGAGTTTTGCCTCAGTAAGGAGAAAATCATAGATTTTAAGGCAAGAAGGGACCACTGTGTTAATCTACTCTCACCTCCTCCACAACTCAGGCCACTGAATTTCACCTGGCAATTCCTGTGTGGAAGGGAATTCCTTTTCTTTGCACCTAGGTGAACACAGCATTGAACTGTGGTGTATTTCCCAAAAGACTTCCATGCTTGATTTGAGCAAGGAATGCAGTTTGCACATATATTTGTATTTAAACAAGTATGTTCCTCCTAACAGCCTATCTGCTCCTCCGAATTGATCATGCAAGGAAGTAACAATGTTGACTCTACGATGTCATAATTCTTCTGGAAACAGCCTATGATGTCATCAGTACAGGAGCTTGATGTCATAAAATAGCACTAAGGGAAACTATGTTAACAGAGAGAGTGTTTCTTTAAAGTTCTATGTAAAATGCATAGACCGTTCTGACAAACAGCCAGATTTGGATCCCCTTAAAAATGTTAAGTAGTATTTTACTTGGCGAGTAATCCCACTGATTTCAATGGGGCTAGTCAAAGAGTAAGATACTTCTCGATGTGAGTACAAGTATCAGAATCTGGCCCTTAGTAAGTTGCTTTTTGTACAGATGTTCTCTCTCACCCCATCCCCAGCTCTGCACCACTATAATAATCCCTCTTGGGGAAAAAAGTGTCTTTCAGTTGGCATACGTAATGGAAAGGAGCCTGGAAAGGACATTTCTCCAGGAAGAATAAGGTGCTTGCTTGCTCTTTCCTTGATCATAAACCTCTGATACTTTTTCCACTTTCAAATACCAAGAACTGTTTCAGAAGTAGTTTCCTATAACTTTACCAGTCGCTGCAGATCTCTAACACAATACAGATTCTGTCAAAGGAAGGAAGGGGTCAGCTCACGCAGTGCTCAGTGATTTTCAGTTAGAAACACACCCACACGAGGAAGGGTAAACTTAATGCTAATATCCAGACAAACTCCCCCTCCTCCTCCCATGTCACTAAGGCATCTACATATATATCTATCAATAACGTGGAGAGGAAAATTAATAGAGCGCAGTAATTGTTTAAAACACAGACATCGGAAAGCCAAGAAACTCAAAGTTAAAGTGCATTGCAAAAACAAACAAATGCTGGAAAATAGAAATGCGGAGTTAAGGTACTTCAAACAACCTTAACTCTGCCCTTCTACCCCACTACCTTGTGCATGCCCCAGATAAGAGATATCTGTCCAACTATTGCAGCCAGTTGATATATTCAGACCTAGATATCTGCTTTTAATCTCAATATTTGTATAGACCTGATTGCTGTATTGTCTGAGTGCTTCACAAATATTACTGATTGATTCTCAAAACTCCCCTGTGAGATAGAAAGTGCTGTTATCTGCATTTTACAGACTAAGGAAAAAGGCCCAGATCCTTAAAGTTATTTAGGCACCTATATAACCCATTGATTTGAATGGGGGTTACATATCTATATATCTTTGAGGCTCCAGGCCTAAGTGACTTGCCCAAGGTCACACAGGAAGTCTGTAGCAGAGTCAATAGTTGAACTGAGATCTCCTGAATCCCAGACCAGTGCCTTAACCACAAGGCCATCCTTTGTCTCTTGCTAATTCACTTGACACAGCCCAAGCAGCTAGAGACCCTTCAAACCTGTATACTTTGGCATTTCATCTCTGACAGTCCATGGAGCACGAGGGGAAGCAAAGGGAGCCTGGCTATTTTTTTGCCTTCCACCAGCTCCTGCACCTGTTCGACAGAATATTTTATATGCATGCAAAAAAATAGAAAGTTAGACATTCATCCGTCACCTCTGTTTCTGCTGCTTGAACATAACTAGCTGCTTAAAGAATTACATAATAATTGTAAATCTGCATAAAGAAACCCCCCACTGTAAATGAAATATTTCTCATAAAACTCTTTCCTTTAGTTTGGTCTAGTGGAAACTCATTTAAATTTGATTTATTGTGCCTTGGAATTTAAGACTTTGGATGAGATTAATGGGCTGTTTTCTGGTTACATCATCTTCATGGATTGCGAAGACAAGCCTACACTGAAATCACAGAGGACAGTTTAGATATAGTCCCCTTGTTAAAATAATGGAATGATGGCTGTTTCCAAGTAACTCAATAGGATAACATAACAGATAGGCTGCATAAGGAATAAATCTGAAATTTCCACTTTATAATAAGGCCAATTGCAGCAATGTCCACAACAAATGCTTTACATTACAGCGACAGGCTGTATATCATTAAATACATCAGACATGACTCATTTTCAGGTCTCTCTTCCGATTGGCTGAAAAAAAACGTGTTTTTTTTTTGTGTGTGAGTGCCCCTAGACCATATTTTTGTGAATTTCAGTGCGATCCCCAGAGAGCTTTCCTTTAGCACATTTCAAGTGGATGTGAATGTGAACGTGAATGGGACATGAAGTGAACACAGCACCAAAACATTTAGGGGGAGATTTTCAAAGGTAAAAAGGACAATCAGACATCCCACTCCCACTGCAAGTCAACATATGAAAGTTGTTTTTCAAGAGTTCCCCCTTACTACTTTGTATTACAGTGTTGAGCAGAGGCCCTATCAAGACGGAGCCCCACTTGTGCAAGGTACATAATAAAGTCGATTCTATTTGAAGGGTCAAAGGGACGAAATCTGCAATTTACACTCAGGCAAAACCCTCCTGCCACCCTCCAATCGAAGTTACATTGTTAACTGGTCACTGTGACTTCCAGAATCCTGGACCCTAGAACACTGATGATTCAATCCACAGTCGTTAAACACCAGGCAGCAGTAAATCACCGATCCTATCCTGAAACCTGAATCATGTGAAACTGCTGGATTAGGCTCCCCAAACATTTTGCAGGAATACTCGCAAATTCCAGAAACTTTTGAAGGAAAAACTAAAACTCCAGAGGTGGAAATTGTATTAAGTTGCACCCAATTTCTCAAATGGACCAGAGTTTTGTGACTATCCTTAATTATTCAAGAGCAGGTTTTGTTTCATGCTACCTCTTAATGCTGTACGGTTTGGGTTTTCTTGGCAGCATGGAAAACAGAGGTCTCTGGCAAATGCTACATTTTGCTTAATACACTTTCTTGCTCAGTTGCCATTTGGAAAAATTATGATTTATTTCACTGGCCCAATTTTTTTTTTAAAATGGCAAACTTGGCCCATTTCAGTGTTGGTGGTTTTTTGGACAGTCCTCAGATTTTTTTAAGGCTAGACAGCGACTTGGACTACATGCCTGCCAAGGGCAATAAGAACTTCCTTTGTGTCTCTGTATGGGCTGCTGAGTCCTTGGGACCAGATGCAGAAAGATAAGTGGGTGCTATGCACCTGGTCAATGCCCCACCTGGAGCAGGTGAGCATGGAGCAGGCAGGCGGATGGATGGAACCATGGCTCCTCCCACAACACATGAGCTGGTGAAAATATACCATGGGAGGTGGGGAAGAATACATTTGTTTCTGGTATATGCTAAGCAAGCAGCAAATTACTGACACACAGCCAGCCACCCCTACCCTGGAGCAAAGGGGAAGCAGTGAGGAAACGGTGCCTCTGAAGCGCATCTCTGAGGCACAGAAACAACGAGGAGTCTGGTGGCACAGCAACTTCTCCTGCGTGCTGCTTACAAACAACTCCTTGCTCAGGGCTGTGCCTAAACAAACAGAGCCAGGTCATCCACTGGTGGAAATGGGCGCAGCTTCACTGACTCCCATGGAACTACACCCATTTACACCAGCTGAGAATCTCACCCTTAGAGAATGCACTTCTGGAGCTTGATGGGCTTTCGATGATGCTTGCCAGGGCCAATAATTCCATAAATCAAAGACGCGAGTTTGCTAATCCACATCCAGCCAGACCCCTTAGATATCCAGCAATTGGATTTGGATGGGTTCCCACTAGATTTCAGTCCCTGGGGTGATCTAGTTTAGAAAGCAAATTTCTGTACAGTGAAATGTGTTTGGCAGCCCTGCTGCAAATGAAGTTCATCCTTAGGGCGCACGCATGCACACACACACACAGGCCTTGTCTACACTACGAGAGTAGTTCGATTTTACTTGCATCGAATTTTTGTAATCGATATTGCAAATTCGAACGTGTGTGTCCACACTAAGGACAGTAATTCGACTTTGTGCGTCCACACTAATGGTGAAAGCGTCGACATTCGAAGCGGTGCACTGTGGTCAGCTATCCCATACTCCCCCCCAG